GGGGGTAATGCAGAGCAGGCTAGAAATGAGCCCCTAATAGATGTATTTGACGTTGCCCTCTAATGCCTTAAAGCTTCGTCATTTCTTTAATATATCTTCTAGTGAAAAATAACCTTCGTAATTTTGAAAACAAAAAATAGCACTAACACAATGAAGCTCATATTAATTAGAATAACTGCATAGCAAAAATGTGATCCTTTTAAGTGCAACTGTCCATAGTGATATATTCCTTATAAACTATATTGTAAAAAGAGTTAATCAAAGTCAGAAACTTGACAATTCCCATGGATTCAACTAAATTAGATTGTAAATAGTTTATTTTTTTTCTGCCATATGTCTCAATTACCAAATTCAGTCATTACTTTGGTGCAATATGTAACATCCCGAGCGCTGACGAAGGCGGGGAGTGATCGCCGGTGCAAAGAGGCACGGACAAAGAATGGCTCCTGACAGGCTTCCAGCGGGGGGTTACATGCATGAATGAATCGAATCGACACCCGAAAGAGAGGGATTCCAAAGGCTGTGTAGCTATAAGACTGCACAGTTTGTGATAGCTTATAAGAATTAATTGGTACTACCTATGCAAACAAGATGCATCTGCTTTTTGGTAGCCGGATCGGAAGAACTCCACAGTTAAACGTGCTTGACTTGGAGCAATTCTGGGATGGGTGACCTCCTGGGAAGTTTTCCCGGGAAGTGTGCGAGTGAGGAAAAAGCACACTGAAAAGTCTCGTGTTAGTATGTGGGGATAGTCATTGATTCTTGAAGTGGCTGGATGTTACAAGTGGTATCAGAGCAGGGTCTCTCATCTAGTACGGTGTGGTTCGAGGACGAACCAGGTGGAAGCTGGTGGACATGTAACATCCCGAGCGCTGACGAGGGCGGGGAGTGATCGCCGGTGCAAAGAGGCACGGACAAGGAGCGGCTCCTGACAGGCTTCCAGCAGGGGGTTACATGCATGAATGAATCGAATCGACACCCGACAGAGAAGGATTCCAAAGGCTGTGCAGGTATAAGACTGCACAATTTGGGATAGCTTATAAGAATTAATTGGTACTACCTATGCAAACAAGATGCATATGCTTTTCGGTAGCCCGGATCGGAAGAACTCCACAGTTAAGCGTGCTTGACTTGGAGCAATTCTGAGATGAGTGACCTCCTGGGAAGTTTTCTCAGGAAGTGTGCGAGTGAGGAAAAAACACACTGAAAAGTCTCGTGTTAGTATGTGGGGATAGTGATTGATTCTTGAAGCGGTTGGGCGTTACACAATACTTGCTAATGTATGGATACGGTGCCATTAACCTTATTCAATCGCACTGTATTGTTGAAGGAACAAGTACTTGTAGAACAACTTAGGAATTCCAGGTTATAGGTACATGGCACCACTTGCAATTTTCATCTCAATTTTTTTTTGGGTATTATTTTCATCTCATTTTAATTCTGCAAGAAAATAGAAGTAAAAAGAATAGATACAAAACGCATAGATAGTTTGGCATTAAAGCTATTTTATGATTTACATATGTCATAAACTGTTTGTCTGACTGAAAAGGTTTTAATACTTGCATGGCCCACCTAGCAAAATTCTAACTAGTAAAGAAGTAATATTTTTGGCTATTTTATTACGGTTCATGTTTTCTTATATTGTAAGATAGCATGAGAGAGAAAAAGTAAAGACAAATTAAATGTAGGTCTCACATTTTATAGTAAAAAAGAAAAAAAAATTAATTGGCACGGAATACGAGAGCATGATTTCCGATTTTATTAACATCAAAACCAAAACTTCTATGAATAAATTTAAGAGGTTAATTTACATTTTTCGCCTACCATTCTTTCTACATGTTTGTAGAAAATAATGGGTTTTACTTTAACGGAATATAATTTTAAATTGGAAAAACTATTCTTATCTTATATGAGGTAAGTTTTTTTTCCTACACACACTTTGATAACCGTGTAACATTTTTTCTTTTTTCTTTTTTCTTTTTTCTTTTTTTAGGTGGTGGGTTGCACTATTATGTGTATAGCATAAGATTTCTTCTCTCATGACACTAGATAAATCCATTTTAAATACGCATTTCAGTTTGTAATTGATAATAAGTTTTCCAAATGTATCTGCAGGAGGTAAAGGCCATGTTGAAGAATGAAGCTCTGCGCAAAAAAGTAAAAAAGTAAGAATCAAACCAAATTCAAAACTAATAAATCTGTCAAATTAACTTTTCATATCCAGTAACAATTTATCTTCTTGCTTATCATTAATCTTTAACTGTAAATAAGCTTGAGTAGACAGAAAATAAAAATAAAAGACACAATTCCTTGAATTCAATTTTTGGATAGGACAATTTCCATCAACGGTTCAAAACCCCTTCTCCGTTGTTCTTAGAGGACAATGAGCTTTCAGATAATTCCTTGCAGTTAGGGTATATGTCACAACTCCCTTTCCTCCCGGCATGTTTTCATTGAAACCTATGCTTTCAACTTTTATACTAATTTCATATACGATGTATGCCAGAAGTTGGGGTGCCCTGCCCTGCCATTAATAATTTTTTTACCCTACATATCTTTTTTTTGTTTTTTAGCATATAGAGTGGGGCCAGGCTCCCAAAAATATGGGTGTCTTTTCTATATTTGACGATTGTGCATTGTAAATCCATAAAAGAATAATTCCCAATTTGTGTCCATTGGTGTGATATTCCCAACAAAAGCATCAACTTCAAACCAACTCACTAGATTGGGTAAATAGCTACACATAACTTAAAACTCTTAGGGGACGTTTGGTATGAGAGATATTTTTTTTAATCGATAAAAAAAAGATTGTTAGGGATTTGGTAGGAATTTTTTTATCCAGGGTAAGTTACAAAAAAGTGTTTGGTTGGCCAAAATTTTGCAGGAAAAGTTGGGTTAATTTTACTAATGCTATGTTTGGTTGATGGTGGACTTAGAGGACGCGTATGATGATATGAATAGAAGATTTGTACGCAGAATTAATACACATGAAGTTAAGGAGGCTTTAAAGAGGATGAAGACTAATAAAGCCTTGGGGCCTGATGGTGTCCCTATTTAAGTGTGGAGAGGCCTGGGGGATGTGGCAATAAAATGGTTGACCAATCTTTTTAATAAGATTCTCCAGACGAATAAGATGCCTGATGTATGGAGGAAAAGTATGATTGTGCCTATCTACAAAAACAAGGGAGATATACAGAATTGTTCAAACTATAGAGGCATTAAGCTAATGAGTCATACTATGAAGCTGTGGGAGGGGGTTATTGAACATCGCTTGAGGAGAGATACCAAGGTTTCTATAAATCAATTTGGATTTATGCCAGGAAGATGTACCATGGAAGCCATTTTCTTGATGCGACAACTAATGGAAAGATACCGAGAAAAGAAGAAGGACTTGCATATGGTGTTCATAGACCTTGAGAAAGCATACGATAGGGTTCCAAGGAAAGTTTTATGGTGGGTCCTGGAGAAGAAAAAGGTTCCATTAAAGTATGTAAAGGCAATCAAGGATATGTATGATGGGGCTACTACATGTGTAAAAGCTTGTAACGGATCATCAAGTTATTTTCCTATCACGGTAGGTGTACACCAAGGGTCGGCTCCAAGTCCTTACCTATTTGCCTTAGTTATGGATGAACTAACAAAAGATATTCAAGAGGAAGTGCCATGGTGTATGCTTTTTGCAGACGATATTGTGCTTATTGATGAGAGCAAGGAGGGTGTTAATAGAAAACTTGAATTGTGGAGAAGCACATTGGAATCCAGAGGATTCACATTAAGTCGAAGCAAGACTGAGTATCTGAAGTGTGAGTTTTCTCTGGTACAAGATGAGGACCAAGAACCTGTGCATCTAAATGGTCAAGAGGTACCCAAAAAAAATGCTTTTAAATACTTGGGCTCCATTTTACAAAATGGTGGAGAGATTGATGCGGATGTAAATCACAGAATCAAAGCAGGGTGGATGAAATGGCGTAGTGCATCTGCATTTTTGTGTGACCGCAAAATTTCCCTGAAGTTAAAAGGAAAATTCTATAAAACGGCAGTACGACCGACAATGCTATATGGAGCGGAATGCTGGCCAGCACATAGGCAACATGAGTATAAGATGGGAGTAGCAGAGATGAGGATGTTAAGGTGGATGTGTGGGTACACAAGGATGGATAAGATAAGAAATGAAGATATTCGACGAAAGGTCGGAGTAGTACCGGTAGCCGAGAAGATGAGAGAACATAGATTGAGGTGGTTTGGGCACGTGATGAGAAGACCCATGGATGCTCCTGTAAGAACAGAAGTTTATTACCAAGAGCTAAACACAAAAAGAGGCAGAGGTAGGCCGAAGCTTACTTGGGGAAAAGTAGTAAAACAAGATTTAATGGAGTGGGATATAGATTGGCGGACAGTATGTCTTAGAAAGGAATGGAGAAAAGCTATAAGTATGGTGGAGGGTTAGACTCGCTGTTATTCCTATGTTCCAGATGGTCCTTTTTTAGTCCTTTTCCCCTTCATTTCCCCCACTTCTTCTTGTCCCTTTCTTTTTTACTTTTATTTATTTATATATACATATATTTTTATTTCATTTTATTTTATTTTATTATTTTATTTGTGTATTTTTATTTATTTATTAATTTATTTATTTATTTATTTTTTATTTTTTTTGTTACTTTTTTTCAACCGTTTTGTATCTTTCATGTGGGTTCATCTACCACCGACCCCAATTAATTTGGGATAAAGGTGTTGTTGATGTTGATGTTGTTGATGTATGTTTGGTTGATGGTAAAATACTGATGGAAATGTGACTGAAATTATCAAAATACCCTTAATTTTTTGATATGCCATCATCAAATGTTGTTTTTTTTGGGAAAAAGTGAATCAAATGTACCTTTTGAGAATCTAAGATCAAGGAAAAAATAAATACCAATGGTTAAGTGGGACAAAAATTTTCCTCTGTAGTTCAAAAAGAAAATATCGGGTAAAAAAATTTGCTGGCATTTTGTTCACAATACTCATACCAAACATGATAAATAAATATTCTCCACCCCACTTTCCCATCATTCCATATCAAATACTCGTACCAAACACTCCCTAAAAGGTCATCAGGAATCGTCACACATATGGCTGACATACCTTATTACAAGAGTATTACAATCTTTAAAATAAAATTCAAACCCCCGCCCCCCCACACACACACATATAACCAACTCACTAGGTTGGATCAATGACTACACATAACTGACAACTCTTTGGATCACTTGCAATCGTCACACACATGGCTGACCTAACTTAAACATTACCTTATTACAAGAATATTACAATCCTTGAAATAAAAGTCACACACACATATATATAATATACAAAATGTATCTAAAAATCACCAGTTTCAGTCTTTGCATCGCTATGAAGGGTGTAGAATTTGCTTCCCTTGGAGTAAATCACAAATGATATGTCCTTCAATATGCCAAAGTCCTTTCCTTCTGTTGAGTTCATAGGCATTTCATAGAATCGAAGATGTTCGAGAGCCTGTAGGTTTGTGATATCATGGGGAACCTCCACCATTTGAGGGCACGGCCCAATGGTTAGCTTTTGAAGAATAGGCAATGCTCCTGTATGAATTTTCAAGGTCTTCAAGGCTTGCATATTTTCTAGGCTTAAAACCTTCAACTTTTTGAACCACCCGTCTCCAAAACACAACTCAACACCTTCAAATGCACTGTAAAGCTCAAGCTCCATTAACTCTGTCAAGTCTTTAAGCATTGGTAGTGGATCTTCCGTTAGTCCTGACCAATTCAAGAATAACCTTACCAGAACATGAAGTTTTGGAATCCAAAGAGGCACTGTTTCCAAACGGCCATACAAGTTTAGGCGTTGGAGATGTTGGTGAGGAGGATTAACCAATGAATGCAGGTCAAGTATCTCATTCTCTCCTGCTGCTGCAATGCTCAGTGACTGAAGACGCGTCATGCCTTCAATTGCAATACATAATGGTTTTCCATTGTGTCTTCTTAGCTTGATAATGCCAAATCCCCTCAACTGCTTCAAACTTTGCACTTCCTTGATTAGGCCATCCCCATTAGTCATATCAACCTTGAATAGCTGCTGCAGGGCCTTTAGACGCCCAATCCCTTCCTTTATCACAACTCCTTGCATGGATGCTATACTGAAATCGAATTCCTCGTTGTCAGAATAAGCTAGAAGATGGTGCAGCTTGGTGAGTTTGTTAACCTCTATAGGTAATTCGCGTACTTGAGTATATTTCAGGTCCAGAGTCTGTAGGTTCTGAAGCTTGCCAATGAACTTTGGAAGGTTCTTGATTCTAGTATTCCTTAAGTTTAAATACTTCAAATGCAACAAGTTTCCAACCGGTTCAGGAAGATCATCGAGAGGGGAATCTTCAAAGTCTAATCCAACCAAGAGCTTGAAATTGGAGAGGAATGATTTCAACAGAGGCCTTGGGAGCTCCTCCAAGTTAAAAGCAAAACAAAAGCGCACTCGATCATGATTTGCTGCAACAGCTCTTGCAAGAACAGCATCTTCTCCGCTACCTTGAAATTGGATTGACAATCTTCGAGTTGTTGAATTGAAGGTGAAGTTTTCACTTTTTATCACTTGGCAAAAGTCCAACTCCACACACTTGTCCTTAATAAAGTCATGCATCAGATCATGCACCCTAATGTTTTTTACCCTGCCATCCAAAAACTCAGAGGACACTGTAACTAGACTCCTACGTATCAATTCATGCAAGTATTCTTCTGCAACTTCCTCTTGGGTACGGTTTTCATTCTCTTTTACATTCACCAATCCTTCTGCTACCCATAGACGTATAAGTCTCGTGCAGCTAACGGAGTAGTCATCAGGGAAAATGCCAAAATACAATAGGCATGGCTTTAGGTGGAAAGGGAGATCATTGTAACTTTCTGATAAGACTCGATGGAAGCTTTTGAGATGAGGATCGCTTGCTAGTTTTGAACCAAGACTATCATGAACCTTCTTCCATTCAGAATAGTTGTTGTTCTTTGTGGAAAGGAGGCTAGCAATGGCCACAATTGCGAGTGGCACTCCATCACACTTCTTCACGATGTCTTTTGACAATTTCATCAATTCTGTTGAATACCCTTCTGGCTTGAGTTGATGAAATGCCTTCAGATTGAACAGATCCATAGCATCGCTTGGACATAGACTTTGCAACTCGTGGATATGAACATGCGCAGAACGTTTGCAAAACTCAGCAACACCCTTGTGTCTTGTTGTGATGATTACCCTACTCCTTTTGTTGTTCTCTGGTAATACATATTCCACACGCCCCCAAAAATCTTCTTCCCAAACATCGTCAAATACAATCATGTAGCTTTTTTCTTTCAAGTGTTCTCTCACTTTTCTTATCAGGGTGGCCTTTTTCATTTGTTCAATCAACTTGGTCTGAGAGTCATCGTCTTCGTCCTTCTCATCATAAAAGTTCTGCAACATTGATTTCAGTATTGCTTTCTCCTTGAACTTGCTAGACACACTCACCCATGCGCCACAATCGAACCTCTTATTCTTCTGCTTCTCAAATAGTTTCTTTGCAATCGTTGTTTTACCTTCGTACACATGTTAAGGAATTATAACTTATAAGAATTTCAATAAATTGCACTTGCAGCAACAACTTAATTATTAATGTTTAGCTGGGAGGATATATTTATAAACTCTTATAAACTATATTATGTCTTATCGGTAAGACACTCTTGAGTGAAGTTTTACCTGTAAACATAATATAGTTTATAAAAAAAAAGTTTGTCAATATAACCATTCTAGTTAAATAATTTAATTTTTTTTATTTTTGTTTCAATATTAATTTTTTTTTATACCGATTCTAATTACATCTACGAGGCGAGTTGCTCTGGTATCCTTACATTCTTCAACCTTTAAGTCGGCTACGGGACTAATTCGGAGCCGGGGTTTAGTCACAATTTTAATATTACTTTTTCCATGCTTTAATTTACAAAAGAGAAATATATAATTTGAAAATTATCATAAAGAGAAATATATAATCTTAGACCGATGTAAGAATAAGAAGTAGTCTTACATCAAACTTACGGCTCAAATATATATATATGGATATATATTTTCATCTAAAGCCTTAATATATCCGACTAATTCAGTTTGGGGTTTGAATCTTTATCATTCTCAAAAGTTATGACTCTCATTAATCCAGTCACTACTCTTTCGGGTTTGAGGTCTAGCTAGAACACCACTGGACTAATGACAATGACAAAAATGTACAATTAGTAATCCAACCAATGATTCTTTGTATGATATTAGAATCTCTATAACCAAGTGATTGGAAGTTCCATTCTTACCGCTTTTATTGGGTTGAATTGATTGCGTTAGATAAAGATATAGTAAATGAGTGAAGAGGGAAAGTAATATAGAGCACATGGTTGCAAGATTTGGATAAGAACATTACCAAGTCCGCCTGGGCCAACCACTGCGATGACGGTGCGTCTGCTATCTTCATCGAGCAGCAAGCTTTTGAGTTTCTTCCTTGTATCATTGATTCCAACAAGCTGTGCATCCTCAAGGAAGAGAGTACCCTTTCGAAGGTCATGACCATGATGAAGAGAACTAGTGGATGATTCTGAATCTGAAGAAGGGTTGAACCCCAACGTGTCTTTCCTTTTGTCAAGGGTTTCTATCATGGTGTTGATGTCACGAATCTGTGACGTAATCGTATGGCGTGGTTCTATGCTTCTGAGCAACCAAACAATTTTCTCAACAACACCAGCGATGCCACGCTTTTGGCGACGCTGAGCAACTTGGAGCAAGTACTCATCGATGGCATCTTCTATGCTATGTGCAACTTCCCTCACTTGCTTCACCCACTCTTTCACTACGTCGCTTTTGTCTTCTTTCTCTGCCTTCACATCTGCATCTCTCAAGTATGCTCTTATTAGGCCTAGTTGATCTTTGATGAACCTCACCTGCGTGTGCACCTCTTTCAGGAGTCCCACTTCGTACGTCAGTAATGGAATCAACTTGTCCATCAACAGGTTCACCGCTATTTCAGCCATGTTTAATATGATATAAACTATAAAATATCAAAATCAGAGTTATGAATGGATTAATGTAGAGAGCTTGTGTTAATTCACCTAGCCACTCAGGGAAAGTATATATAAGCAATGAGAAGCATCTTATGTGCAATTGTGTTGCCAGCATCTTTTTACTGTGATCCAAAAGCAGTATTCTCACTATTCTGATGCCTGATGCTTTGTCTTCTGTAATTAGTGTTCATGCTTCTTTATTTGATACTTTAGTGTTGCATTTTCTAAGGCGAATAAATTCTTTTATTTGGTTTATCCACCAATATATATTCTAAAATCTTGTCTAAGATAAGGACTGCTGTGAAAATTTTATTTTGATAAAAAAAAGAAAATCGAATGTGAATGAGAGATATTTGATTTGATTTGGAACGTATTCATTTTATGGGGAGAGTGCTAAAGTGCATTATGAAAAGATGAAAATGTTCACTCGAGGGTGTTAAAATGCTAATAAAATCCGAGAGAGTAGCCAATCCCCCAAGCCCGCTATAGCATGCTCAGCGGGGAATTTTCATGTGCTGGAGTGCGCTACAGTACTCTATAAAGGAAATTTCACATGTTGGAGAGCGCTACAACGCACTTGGCGCCACAATGCGCTAACCCTGCAACTTAAAAGTATGTTTTGCACCATGATTGTCTATGGGAGCCACATAGTAAGTGATTATAAGCTAGTATGACGCTTCTAAGTAATTTATGATAGTTATCTATAGAAGTTGAGATTATCGAATACGGAATTAATTTATATGCAAAAAAAAAAAAAAGTTTATACGTATATTTTATTTAATGTTTATTATGTTAGCTACGGTAAATACCATAATCAATGTTAATATACCGGATGCACACAGGATCTTACATCTATCAACATGTTCACTGTGATTTGAGACATGTTTAATATGATATAAACTATAAAATATCAAAATCAGAACTATGTATAGATAAATATAGAAACCGTTTGTTAGTTCACCTAGCCACTCTGGGAAAGTATATATAAGCATTAAGAAACATCTTATGTGCAATTGTCTTGCAAGCAATTTTTTACTGTGATCCAAAAGAAGTATTCTGATGCCTGATGCTTTGTCTTCTTTAATTAGTGTTCATACTTCTTTATTTGATACTATAGTGTTACATTTTTTACGAATAAATTCTTTTATTTGGTTTACCAACCAATATATATTCTAAAATCTGGTCAAAGATAAGGACTCCAGTGAAAATTTTATTTTGATAAAAAAAAAAAAAAGCGAATGTGAAAGAGAGTTATTTGACTTGATCAAATTGACCATGGTGTGAGATTAATGACATTGATCCAAGGTAATCTAAATTTCTCTTTCTTTCAAATTATTATTCTGTTTGATCTGCATATTAATGGTTGTGATTTATTTTCCTTAGAATCAACTTGTTAGACAGACTGTCACGTGTCATAGTTCTATACTACTGGTAGCAAATTTTGTGGCTAATGATTTCCTAATACGTGGCCATATTCCGTATCAAGTTCGCTACCACTGATAGCGAACTTAGTCCAATCAGTTTTTTCTTGCGAAAATATGCCACATGTTACAAAATCATTGGCAACGTAGTTTGCTACCAGTCGTAGCGAATTACATCACGTGGCAGTTTGATAAAAAATATGGTTCATATGATATTTAAATAAAATTTTTGCCAAAAAGTAATATTTTGGTCGATGTTCCGGATAGTGCAGAGCAGATAGTAATGAGCCACTAATAGATGTATTTGGCGTCGTCTTCTAACTAGTATATTACCTGTGCCGATGCACGTGAGAAGAAATCGATTTGTTTGTCTCGTAAAAGTTTACCTAAATTTAAAATAAATATTATGAATAATAATTTTTGTTAAAATTTAATAGCATGATGTAGGAACAAAAAAAAAAGATATATCTTTCTTCACTCTCAAATTAAATAACGATGCTGAGCTGCACTACAAAATATATTCACATATGCAGGTAACAAAACATGTATTACTAACACGACGATGATAAAATAAAAAATATTAATTAATAAAGACTTAATTAAAATTTAAAATATCCAAGTGATTTGCAACTTAATATAATGTATTTGTAATAAAAAAAATTAAATGTTGTGCTTGACATCAAGGTAATAAAAAAAATGCGTAACGTAAGTTGCAAAAGTTATAAAACCCATTCCGCGATTCACTCTTAACGCAACACATAAAAGTATATTGCTGCATTTTACCTTGTCATGGAGTCATTCAAAAATTACAAAGTTTTACTCATCTTCTTTCAGTATTTTCCAGATATGAACTTTCATTTAGAAAGATCAAATTTACAAAATAATAATACTTAAATATTTTTTTGCAATGATTTGTGTCGTTAGTATTTGAAATTTTTCAAATTCGTATTTACAAAAATTAAAATCAGAATTAGGAATTTAATTATAAAAGGAAAAGGGCGAAATTTTAATTTAATTATAAAAAAATGTTGGCGGCCGGTCCTCCGGACCGAGTCCAGTTTGCAACCTCTAATTCTCAGCATTATATACCAGTATGTAATACATTTTTATATTTATCCACATAAAAAATTCATATAGTTGCATCTAAGTCTTTATATTTTATCTCAGAGATAGACATTCATTTATTACAATCAGATTTATAAAATAATAATAACTAATTATTTTTTTGCAAGGATTTGTGTCCTTAGTATTTTGAATTTTACAAATTTGAATTTATAAAAATTGAAATCAGATTTAGGAATTTAATTATAAAAGAAGAAGTATGAAATTTTAATTTAATTAAAAATATAAGTTGGTGGGTTGGCCCTCCTGGCCGAGCCTAGTTTGCCACCTCTAACTATCAACATGTAATAGGTTTTTATATTTATCCACAAAAAATGTTCTTATAGTTGCATTTAGATTTTTATATTTTATCTGAGAGACAGACTTTCATTTATTACAACAGATTTATAAAATATTAATAAATAATTATTTTTTGCAACGATTTGTGTCGTTAGCATTTGAAATTTTACAAATTTGTATTTACAAAAATTAGAATCAGATTTAGGAATTTAATTATAAAAGAAGAAGGATGAAATTTTAATTTAATTATAAAAATATGTTGGTGGGTCGGCCCCGCGGGCCAAGGCCCAATTTGCCACATCAAACTATCAACATGTAATAGGTTTTTATATTTATTCACAAAAAAAGATTCTTATAGTCGCACTTAGGTTTTTATATTTTATCTTAAATATGAACTTTCATTTATTACAACAGATTTATAAAATAATAATAAATAATTATTTTTTGCAACGATTTGTGTCGTTAGCATTTGAAATTTTACAAATTTTTATTTACAAAAATTAAAATCAGATTTAGGAATTTAATTATAAAAGAAGAATGATGAAATTTTAATTTAATTATAAAAATATGTTGGTGGGCCGGCCCTCCGGGCCGAGGCCAGTTTGCCACCTCTAACTATCAGCATGTAATAGATTTTTATATTTATCCACAAAAAATGTTCTTATAGTTGCGTCTAGGTTTTTATATTTTATCTGAGAGATGAACTTTCATTTATTACAATTATATTTACAAAATAATAAGAAATAATTATTTTTTTGCAAGGATTTGTGTCATTAGTATTTAAATTTTACAAATTTGTATTTACAAAAATTGAAATCTAATTTAGGAATTTAATTATAAAAGAAGATTAGTGAAATTTTAATTTAATTATAAAAACTTGGTTGCAGGCGAGGCGGGCAGGCCCTCAGGCCAGTTTGTAACCTTTAACTATCAACATTTTATGTAAATAACAATTTTTTTGCAAAGATTTGTATCCTTAGTATTTTGAAATTTACAAATTTATATTTTCAAAAATTGAAATCAGATTTAGGAATTTAATTATAAAAGAATAATGATGAAATTTTAATTTATTTATAAAAATAAGTTGGTGGGCAGGCCTTCCGGGCCGGGCCCAGTTTGTCACTTCTAACCAGTGTTTTAAAATCAGGCTCAGACCGGCCGGGTCGATCCGGGACTCGGTGACCCGGTGGGTTCCCCGGTCCGAGCGGGTAGTTAGACCGGTTATGCAGTCAACCCGGATTGGACCGGTTGACCCGGCCGAAACCCGGCGACTCGGTTGACTCGGGTTAAACCGGTTTTTCCTCTCTCTTTTTTGGTAAAATTTTTTTGTTGTTGATAAAATCTCTTGAATTAAATCATTTTATATTTTATGATGAAAATGATTAAAAGTAAGGTGAAAATAATAAGGTATTTTAGATTAGTGTAGTTCGTTTATGTAATTTAGTTGCATCTTATAATGATCTCATGAAGTTAAGTGGTGATAAACATTGATGGTCTCATGATCTCATCTCAACGGTCTAGAGCTAGAAGCTTATAAGTATATAATATTTGCTATTATTGAAAATCAATTTATTTTTTGAAGCTCATAGATAGTTTTCTTAGGTGAAATTTTATTAATATAAGTAATATTTTTATATTTTTAATATGTGAACAGTAAAACCGGTTCAACCCGGTTGAACCTGTGACCCAGTACCTCGACCGGTTCGATGACCGGTCCGAGTTTTAAAACACTGCTTCTAACTGTCAGCATTTTATTTATTAGCATGTAATATGTTTCTTATATTTAGCAATACAAAATTGTTCTTAAGTTGCATCTAGATTACTATATATCTATATATTTTACATTTGCCTTTAATTAGACTCTTTGTGGTCTGTGTATTTGTGACATATATAAGAAATAAAGAGTTGGAAAATATTTGGGTTGGTACGTTTAATATTCTATCAAACACTTTATAGTTGAATAGGGTAATATCAAAAGACCATTCATTAGTTTGATTACATAATAATAAATATTATTAATAGGTTTAACAATTTTCGATGCAAAAAGTTGTGGTATTACTAATAGGCTTAACAATCATTTATGCAAAAAGTAGTGTGATATCAATATAGCTGTTTGACAACCAAAACTTTAAACTTTTTTTTCCCACCTATGAAGTTTAAATTTCAAATTAAAATTATTTTTTATCAACTATAAATACATTTTTAT